CCCGACACTTCATTCAGTATGACTCCAACGGGACGTTTAGACCTCCGCATGTGACCCCGACTCCCATGGCCCTGACCTCCACGTGACTTCTGACCTCCAGGTGGATCTCTGCCCTTCGTACATCCTTCAGGACTCACTGTGGGCTCCAGGACTGGACTCTCTGCCCCGAAGCCATTCCATGGAGACCAGAGCATCCAGAACCAGGGCGACGCCGCGAACCACCAACCTGCCAAGTATGACCTGCTGAGCAGCGTGCCTGTGAGTATGACCTCTGACTTAAATCTCTGACTATGCACAGCATTAGCACATGAACCAGAATCTGGAACCCGGTCCTCTGTGTCGCCGTGGTAACAGATCTAAGCAGACCCTCTGTGTCGCCGTGGTAACAGATGTAATAGCAGACCCTCTGTGTCGCCGTGGTAACAGATGTAATAGCTGACCCCTCTGTGTCGCCGTGGTAAGATGTATAGCTGACCTCTGAGTCGCCGTGGTAACAGATGTAATAGCTGACCCCTCTGTGTCGCCGTGGTAAAGATGTAATAGCTGACCCTCTGTGTCGCCGTGGTAACAGATGTAATAGCTGACCTCTGTGTCGCGTGGTAACAGATGTAATAGCTGACCTCTGTGTCGCCGTGGTAACAGATGTAATAGCTGACCCTCTGTGTCGCGTGGTAAGATGTATAGCTGACCCTCTGTGTCGCCGTGGTAACAGATGTAATAACTGACCCTCTGTGTCGCCGTGGTAACAGATGTAATAACTGACCCTTTTTGTCACCTTAGTAACAGATCTGGATCTGAAGTTCCAGTACCGCGGCCGTACGGCGGGCTCTCTGACGGTCAGTAACCTCAGGGCTGCCGGTTGTACTTTGGACACCTGGAGCCAAACCCAGAGCAGGTGGACCTGTTTGGACCCGTCTCCTGCAGCAGGTGCGTTTCCCGGGGTCGTCTGAGATCCAGAACCAGAAGCAGCGGTTCTACACGGAGGCCCTGCTGGACGTGATGGACCGCGGTCTCATCCTGGAGATCTTGGAGCAAGACATCTACGCCGTCCGCCTCTGTCAGTGTAAAGTGTTCTGGTCTGGACCGGGCACGCTGGAACACGGTCCACGAACCCCTGGAGAGAGAGAAGAAGATCAAGGTGTTCAGCCTCAACGAGTTCCTGCAAGGTGACCAATAAATAAATCATATTAATGATGTTTATGATGTCGTTGGTGGATGTTGCTCAGCTTCATGACGTTGTTGATGTGATTAATTTCCTCCCACAGAACTGATCCTGTTCCATAAGGGGGAGACTCAGAGCCCACCCCCCTTTGAGATCTCCTTCTGTTTTGGGGAGGACTGGCCTGACAAGAAACCAGAGAAAAGAAACTCATCATGGTCAGGTGTGTTTAACTGACCAGACAACAGGGGGCGCTCCAACTGAACTCACTCAAACCAGAACATAGCTCCTCCCCTTTGTCTTCTTCTTCTTCTGTTTCTTCATCTTCTCCTCCTCCTCCTCTTCCTCCTTCTTCTTCACTGCTTTTATTCAGGCTCAGTTTAACATTTGTGGTAAGGTGGTTCTAGCTGTGAATATTGGATGGTTCTAATGGTCTGGATTAAACTGTTCAGGTGGTTCCTATGGGGGTGGGGGGGGGGGGGGTTTAGCCGGGTCGTGATTTAGACTGTTCTTGTGGTTCTGCTGGGGAGTAAGGGTTTGGATTGGAGCCGGGTCTGGATTTAGACTGTTCTTGTGGTTCTCAGGTGGTTCCTGTGGTGGCTCGGATCCTGACGGAGATGTTCTCTGGAGAGCTGAGCTGGTCCACAGACAGCATCCGGCTTCAGATCTCAACCCGGACGTGAAGGACCAGACCGTGGAGCAGTTCAAGGAGCTGCAGAGACTCCTGCAGAGCCAGCACATCCAGGGACCCTGGACCCCGCCATCATTGAACACCTGGACCCTGTTTTCCCCTGACTAACTAACTAACCCTGTTTCCTCCAGGCATCGCTGTACAGATCCTCCTCGGTACTGATCCAGAAAAGAACGGATCCTGTTCAGTTCTAATGTACTAGTCCTGATCCTGATCCTGAACCGGTTCAGGTTTTAACAGTGTAAAGATGAAAGTCAAAAGATTATGAACAAAAAGATCACTTTATAAAAATAAATTTATTTTGTACTTCACTCAAAGGCTTGAAACTGAATATATTCTACACACACACACACACACACAACACACACACACACACCACACACACACACACACAGAGGACGTCAGGAGGATCAGGTGGGTCTCTTTGCCCTGACCTTTACCTGAAGGTTCATATTTGAAGACATTAATCCTAACTGACACACAAACAGGTTTTAATCTGACTCTGATGAACTTTATTTCAGTGACTGTATTTACGGGTTAAAAACTGGATAATTTCAGATTTTTTTACTTTCTGGAATTCTTTTTAATAAGCACATAAACACATTTACATCCCGACACTGAGCGGGTAATAACGCTCAGAAGGTGAAATGGTCGATTCTGCTGACCTCTTGACCTCGAGCATTGAAATATTAAAACTTAACTACCAATAAAAACAGTTCTCTTTCTCTCTTGTACAAAATATTTTTTGGTGAAATTTGTTTCTAAATAACATTTTATATCTTACAGTTTTTTCCAGTTGCTAACACACTAAAATGAAATGCATAGCACAATTATTTAAACTGACACACAGAGAGCAAAACCTCTTAAGTCTCCAAAAGTCTAAACACATTTTCTGCTTTACACACATTTTGCAATTCAAAATGACACTTTTTAAATGCACTGAACACGGTTCTCTGCATAAGACACAACAATCTGACATAAAGTCACATGTTTGCCATTTCAAAACACTGCCATTCAAAATGACACTACATGAACTAATTGGCCAATGTATGTGCCACCTGGCCAAACACCTCAATGTTATCACTTCAATCAGGAAGTAAGCACTCTGAAAAGACCACAGGTAGAGGAGGAGTGAGAGGTAGAGCTGGTAGAGAGAAGAGTGAGAGGTAGGGGTAGAGCTGGTAGAGGAAGAGTGAGAGGTAGAGGTAGAGCTGGTAGAGGAAGAGTGAGAGGTAGGAGTAGAGCTGGTAGAGGAAGAGTGAGAGGTAGAGGTAGAGCTGGTAGAGGAAGAGTGAGAGGTAGAGCTGGTAGAGGAAGAGTGAGAGGTAGGGGTAGAGCTGGTAGAGGAAGAGTGAGAGGTAGGAGTAGAGCTGGTAGAGGAAGAGTGAGAGGTAGGGGTAGAGCTGGTAGAGGAAGAGTGAGAGGTAGAGGTAGAGCTGGTAGAGGAAGAGTGAGAGGTAGAGGTAGAGCTGGTAGAGGAAGAGTGAGAGGTAGGGGTAGCGCTGGTAGAGGAAGAGTGAGAGGTAGGGGTAGAGCTGGTAGAGGAAGAGTGAGAGGTAGGAGTAGAGCTGGTAGAGGAAGAGTGAGAGGTAGGAGTAGAGCTGGTAGAGGAAGAGTGAGAGGTAGAGGAAGAGTGAGAGTAGAGGTAGAGCTGGTAGAGGAAGAGTGAGAGGTAGAGCTGGTAGAGGAAGAGTGAGAGGTAGAGCTGGTAGAGGAAGAGTGAGAGGTAGAGGTAGAGCTGGTAGAGGAAGAGTGAGAGGTAGGAGTAGAGCTGGTAGAGGAAGAGTGAGAGGTAGAGCTGGTAGAGGAAGAGTGAGAGGTAGAGCTGGTAGAGGAAGAGTGAGAGGTAGAGGTAGAGCTGGTAGAGGAAGAGGGAGAGGTAGGGTAGCGCTGGTAGAGGAAGAGTGAGAGGTAGGGTAGAGCTGGTAGAGGAAGAGTGAGAGGTAGAGGAAGAGGGAGAGGTAGAGGTAGAGCTGGTAGAGGAAGAGTAAGAGGTAGAGGTAGAGCTGGTAGAGGAAGAGTGAGAGGTAGAGCTGGTAGAGGAAGAGTGAGAGGTAGAGCTGGTAGAGGAAGAGTGAGAGGTAGAGGTAGAGCTGGTAGAGGAAGAGTGAGAGGAAGAGTGAGAGGTAGAGCTGGTAGAGGAAGAGTGAGAGGTAGAGCTGGTAGAGGAAGAGTGAGAGGTAGGAGTAGAGCTGGTAGAGGAAGAGTGAGAGGTAGAGGAAGAGTGAGAGGTAGAGCTGGTAGAGGAAGAGTGAGAGGTAGGAGTAGAGCTGGTAGAGGAAGAGTGAGAGGTAGAGCTGGTAGAGGAGTTCATGGCCAAAGAAGAAAACAACTTTCAAATGAACTCAGAGCAACCTCAGTTGATCATGTCATCATGGGCTGACACTGTGAGAGTCTGGACAGAGTGCAGCTCAACTTGAGCCGTTTTACTGTCCTGGTATATGTAGCACTGACTTGTTTGGTGAAAAATAAAAAAAATAAGCATGTGCATGTGAACAATCTGAAGAATTTTCTACACTTCAAACTATTTTAGTATTATGGCAAAGCACACTAAAGATGAGAGTGCTTTTCATTATGCCCGACAGTGTGTAGTTGGTTAGACAAAAATCTGGTAATATAAATGAAGTGTGTGCCATTTGGTGCAAAAGTTTGATTTTGATAATGCTATATGTAGTTTTGGTTGCAGAGCTTCATTTTGCAGGATATGTGAGGTATGTTGCAGTTTGTGGTTTTGTGAATTGTGTTCAGTATTTTGATAAAACCAGCCTAGTTTGCAAAATTGTGTTTTACCAATCGGAAAAAACTGTAATGATTATGTTACATGTTCAAATGATGGAGGATGAAGATCAGGATCAAATGACTCAGATATCAAACTTATAATCGATCTCTGATGGTTATTAATAAATCAATAGTCTCTCAGTATCGGGGGTCTCTGACTCCGGGTTGAGGACGTGGCAGGACCCGGCTGATACTTTTCTCATCGCTGTAGCTCAGCCGCGCTGTCACTGGTGTACACGTTCCTATCAGCCAATGAGCAGCGAGCATGATGAGCGAGCCTTCAGGCGTCACGAAACAAACGTCGACGCTTGCTGAATCCGACCAATCAGACGAGAGGGTTCAGGGGTGTGGGGGGGGGGGGGGGCTTCTGAT